GGTTAGCCTGAGACGTGGTATTCCATACCCATAGCTGCCACTCTCCGCGTTTTATTTATTATTGGGATTCTCTGTTTTTATTCCTGTGGGGTTTTTTTCCCCTTTCTTTCTTTATTTTGCTGTCATTTGTTCTTTACTTTAGGACTTTGTCCTGCCCTTGCTGTACCTGTGTTGCTGCTTGCACTATTAAACAGGATATGCACAACAGATTATTAAACGTAGATGCAGTAGAATGATGACAGCAAGAACTTAGAAGCATATGGCAATAGCTGCAGGTGTAGCACTGTATTCTAGTTGTATGTCATGTTTAACTACAGGTATTTCCCAATTCCATGAAATAACCCTCTCATACAAGCATAAAGAACAGACCTGTATTTAAAGGATTCTTTCTGCTCTCGTTTTCTGGCTTGTAAAACAAACAGTAATGACACGAGCATGTGCAAGCTTGAAGCAGACTATGCCTTTGTGAAATTGTTCTCGTGTTTACTACACTTGTAAATATTTTGTCAGATTTCTTCATGAAATATTGAAGAACTGGTGTTCTGTAGCTTTATTTCTGTGAGATTCACAGAACTGCAGCTAGTGTCTCAGGGGTTCTGTTTTGAGCATCAGTTGTAGATCGAGGACAAGTTGTTCCGCTTCACACATGCCATCAAAGCAAACTGGGGCAATCTGTGTGGCGAAGAAAATGGAATTAAATTTTTAGTTCTTGATGGCAAGACTTGGACTTTCAAAGAGCTCAGACTAGTAGTAACTTACTGTTTTATCTCTTCTCACTGATCAACCAGCTGCCACAACACCCTTCCAGAATAGATGGGAAGTTATGGGCAGCGAGAACTTCGTTTTCCTTTATTTTCTCCAGCTTGGCCCTTTAGGTGGAGGTACAGCAGGAGCCTAAGCTTAAAGTATTGTATTGTGTGGGTTTCAGCCTTCTGTCTCACACGCATGCTTCAAACACAGATCCTTTTTTATTTCTTTGAATTCACAGAATGAGCATTTCTCCAAAGTTCATCCTTTGTTCATATTGCCATTTATTTTCTGGAGTGCTTTTTCCCTAGTTTTTGCCCACATGGTTATCCTAGCAAGGTACTGTGAATTCCCTGGTTACTTTCCAGTTGTTTCAGTTCTTATGCCCTCAGATTTTCTGTGGTGATGGTGCAGTGATGTTGTTGTTTATATTATGGGAGTGCACAGTCTCTGTCATCTGACTGCCTTTTTGCATACAAAGTTTTACCTTGCAAGCCAACATCATTAGTTACAAGCTATGGCTCTTTTAATGGTACTTAGGTGGGGTTTTTTAATAAAGGATTAATTTTCTAGAAAAACCAATGTTGGACCACACATACATTTTTCCAGATGTTTTTCCCTTTTGGTATGTTATAAAAAAACCCCAAACATTTAATGTGGGATAAAGAACATAAACCAAAGTTGGAGTTTGCTTTATGGGGCTGGATATTGCCTGGTATATCTGAAATTTTCCATAAAACTTTGTTGTAAGATACTAGCAAAAAATATGTCATCAAAGTGCTATTTTTTTTACCCACTAAGAGCTTTAAAATACTCTAGTCATAAACCCAGTACAGAGTCTTTTCAGTTTTGCTTCTGTACATATCTGGCTTCTGTTCATCCTTAGAGGTAATTTTTCTGTGGCAGATGGTTTTAGAAGGAAATCGAGGGGAATTGTAGATGATATGAACACGAAAGTTGATAGAACGTGCTTAGCATGAGCAGCTGGCTGAAGTGGATTATTGAAAGTGAGATTTTTACTGTCACTTGAAAAGTTGTGTCTAGCAGTCCAAAGCCTCCATCTCACTCCTTGCTCCAAAAGTACATCAGTGTCTCACCCTTTTTAGGACCGTCATACGTCAGGATTGGCGTTGGAGCTCCAGTGACAGAGTAGGATGTGTGATGTGCCTTTGGGCTAGGACATCTTGGAGATGATGCTTTCAGAATTTCAGATGACATTTTCCAGGGGAAGAAGCTTTGCTGCCACTACCAGTCAGCAGTTCTGGTCCTTTTACTGCTCTCACAGGCAGCGGGGGCCTGTTTTCTGCAGAGGTTTCGGTGGCTGTCAGAGCGCTGAGCCGCCTGGCCTGCTGATGGGTGACACTGCCCAGCTGCTCACCGTGATGGATGTGGTGCCTCTTTTGATTGCCTGACACTTGGTCTAGTGGCCAGCAAGGCAAAATGCCACAGGTAATGCTCAGACAGATGTCCGAAATGTATCAATTTGCAGTGTACATCAAAACATGTAGCAGTTCTGCGGAGGGTCTGGCATTACTGATCCATGCAGGGACCTTTCACAGATGTGTTTCGAAGCATCTTTGGACTTAATCTGCACATCTGTGGTGTTCCTTCTCCCCTTTGGTGTAAGGCTGCTGTTTACAGCTGGGCAGTTCTGTTAAGTCATATTGTTCTGGTTTAGGGCAAATTTGGGAGAAAACCTCCAAAGGGAGCCCCTCCAGAAAGCAAACCCACGTGGCCCCTTCCCACAACCAGTTTGGGAAGGATTCCTCAGAGAGAAGTGGAAGGAACCTGTCTATTTAACAGGCACAGCACCCCCCAGCACACGACACCACTCTTTCACCGCTGTGAAAAAGATGATAAATTCAGAAAGTCTCTCTTGGGGGTGGTTGCTCTGTATCAGTTCCCCCAGTGCTGGGGCAGCTGCTGCAGCCACAAGGTGCAAACTCTCGGTGTTCCCAGGTCCCAGTCCGGAGCAGGTTTGAGTGGTTCCAAAAAAGGGAAAGGAAAAAGTCCAGGGAAAAATTTGTACTGATTAGCTAAACTAACTAATGAGCAGAATCAAAAAGCAAGAGCAAAGCAGGAGCAAGAGCAAAGCAAAAAGCCAAAGCAAAAAGCAAAAGCTGCACTATGTACTGCCCTGTCTGTGTCCCACCAGCCATGGGGTGCAGCTGATAGTAAAACCAAACCAAAACATTCACTCTTCAGAGCCAATCTTGAAGGCACAGAACATAATATCCAGCAGAAACAGAACAGATGACTGGGGATACAAGCATCATAACATCACCCTAGGACACATATGAAAATGCTAATTTTCCCCAGTATTCAGTGTGTGCTCTGCCCTTTCAGTGTGACCCAAATTTTTCTTTGCATTAGCAACGTAAAATGATACAATTTTAACTTGAAAGTTTGACAACAAGTAGTGACACTGCTGGAATTTAGGCTACCTCAGATGAATCAAGGGATTGAGGTAAATGTGTTTGCCCCAGCTTCTTTGAATTCCAGCTCACTGATGAAATAATTAACAATACTGGTTTCACAGCTAATGGGCAGTCCTACTGGGAGAGTATTGCCCATATCCAAAATAGTACCTGGAGATTCTCTGTAGACTCACTTGGCTACATTTCATATGGTCAGTATGCTTAGATAGGCTGGTGAGTTTTGCATAATTTTTATCTTGTTTGCATTCTAGTAATGCAACTGTAATCCTAGTTAATTAAGAATCAGAAAAATACTGTAATAGGTATTGCACAGATAAGAAGAAAATGTGGCACTTGTCTGAAAGAGCTTGCACCCGAATTATAAGAGGAGGGGAAAAGTGGATCTAGGCAGATGGAAGCAGTGATATGATATTAATCAGTGCAGCAGGTTATTTCTCTAACATACTGGTGGTCTGGTCTGTGTTTCTTATAAGCATCATGGTGAAGGTGCAGCAAGGGAAGACTTACTAAGGTGACACATTTCAACATTTAGTAAGTGAACTGTAGAGGAGGAGAGACTCATCTTCCAAGTCAGAAGTGCAAGATGTCAAGATAGGAGAAGGTTTTGGGAAGTGCAGACAGTGAAGGCAGTTTGCTTCTCCAACTCTCGTGCATAAAAATGTTGTGAAGAGGAATAACCTGGTTGGTTGGGTTGGTTTGGTTTCCCAAGGAAAAGTGATTTTTAGTTCATGCTGGCCTTGTAACTTTTATTGGTCTTAGTTCTACTGAATTACTGTAAAATGTAATTTTTTAAAAAATAGCAGTTTCTTATTTTAGGAACAACATTCAGCTCTTGTAAGTATCTAAATATATACTTTATGAAGAGGGTAAATTTCTAAATATAGGAATATTAATGCTGTTAAATATAGACTGTAGCAAGCATAACTTAAATTTAAAATAGTCTAGGCACACCATAGATTTAACCTAACAAATTCAGCAGATTGATTTTTGGCACTCTGTCAAATCTGAAGCTTTTAAAATTAGATGGGCAGATCATTCTGCTGCTTTTGAAGTGGTTTGTTCTTTCTAGAATGGTGCAAATGAGCAGTCGAGTGAGGAGGTTTTGATCTTAATCAGCTTTTTGTAGCAAGATTGACATTAGGAGTCTTTTAAGAAGTAAGAAGTCAACTGAGAATAGCTAGTGATGGTGATGATTGCACTACAAACTCTTGTATGCTGAGCTCAAAGAATCTGAACGTGTTTGGAAAGGATTAGTTCTTAGTTTTGTACAAAATAATTTTTGAAAAGGAAAAAGTTTACGGTTTTTTAATCTAACTTTTTCTATTTTTGTTTTTTTTTTTCTCAAGGAAACTGCATAGTTTCTACTTAAGATTTTTACTGTGTGCCAAGTAGAGATGAGAGTAGAACTAACATACCCTCAACTCAGGTTTTTCTATCACAAAAATCAATTTCTTTTTATTTGTCAGATTCATTGGTGAAATATTGTGTGCACCATGACTTGATTTTATGTGTACAAAATGAAAAGCTTAAATATATTTGTTTTTCCATCACAAAAGAAAACTTCAAGGGAAGATTTGTGGTGACCTCTTTCTGCATAGGAAAAGGAGGAGAGTCTTTCCCCTTTGGGATAGTTGGTGGCTGTAGACAGAAAAATCTCATTGGACATATTTAATAAAATGAGAATGGGTTGGAAAGAGGCAAATCATGGGAATACTACCATGGTTTTTAATCTTCAGTGTGTCAAGTTAATTTTGTCTAAATTGTTCTTTTCTCTTTTGCCTGCTTGTCCTGAATGGCTTGTGCCTATGGCCAACAATAAGCTGTAGATCATCCCTTTTGGTTTTTTCTTAGCTATATTTTATGCCTTCTTGAGTCTGTTTGTTCAGGATTTCCATTCCAACAAAAACTCAAATCTTTTATTTCCCACAAACTGAAATATTTCTGAAGCATCCTAAGTTTCTTCCTTGTTTAACTTAATTAAATATAATAATCAAATTCCTGTCATAAGCATTCTGATTTTGAAATTGATTGTTTTTATTAAATGGGGTCTTTAATTTGTAATGTTTGCAGTCTCTGAATGTACTGGAAAAGGGCAGTACTCCACATACACTTGCATCGTAGATCACGTGGAGTAGCTAATTGCTGTTACCTTTCCATCACACTTCTGTGCTTTTCAAAATCAGGCACAAACCCTGGCTGTCTGAGTCCTTGATGTGCTCTGGTTTTTCCAAGAGCTCACAGGTCAGTAACCATTGTCTGATGGGTGTCCGTCTGTGGGTATGTCCATGGAGAGTAATTAATCTAATGGTCCGTGTTGTCTTTTCCTCTGCCTGCTCTTAGTGAGAGGAGACTGGAAAGTGTCTGGGCTGTGCAGTGGGAGTGCAGCTCCTTATGCAGTGTTCATTCTAATGCCATGTTGATTAGCCTGGGCTTGAAGTGCCATGCTTTCAGTCACTGTGGTTATCAGCTGGCACTGTCTGTTCCCCATGTCCTCAGGGTCCCCAGGAGATGGGTCCAGCAGTGGGCTGTGCTTGCCCTGATCCAGGTCATGTCACCTGTGCTGTGAGCCACAGGATTTCACACAAGGGAATTATTTATTGGAGCTCTCTAAGTGTGCTGATACAAAGATGACTTTCATTGGGGTGAAGTCTGTGCTTTGGACAGCCTTACATAATCTGCCCAAAGAGATCAAAATTGTTATGCTGAAATGAACTCATAGATAGTTTATGTCAATGTTGAATCACCTAAACACAGCTATGTTCCTTTAGGGATGACATTTTTGCTGTCTTTGCTATTGACTCTTTGCATAATTTAGTGTAATGTCTTGTGTTTTCTCACAGCAGCTCTGTTGGCCCTACTGTTTGATGAATGTCTTGATCAGTCTTGTGCTCAGTTAAGTGGCAGTGTGACAAGAGGTGATGGGTAGTTTCACATGAAACTTGGGTATATATGAGAAGCTGCCAAGGCAGAAAGACACAGCTGAAGTTGTTTGAGCCTCCTCATGCTCTGGGGATGCCAGGTTGATGGACATGGCTGGCATGTTGATGGACATTAGGTGTGCTAACATCTGTTGAACATACATAGTCAGGAGCTGGAATAGTTAGACATTTCTTACTGTATAAACAGTAAGAAAGGTCTAAATATTGTGAACCCATGAAATCAGCAAAGCTGAATTCAGTGGTGCCTTTTACTTGCATGTCTAGGCTTTATAACGATAAGTATAGGAAAAATTGAAATCTGTAATTTAAGAACATCATGGTATTTAATATAGTATAAGCTAATTTCTCTGTAAATGTAGCATTTTGTAAAAAAAAAGCGCTGTTTTGAAGGCTTGAGGAAACATGAAGCTGTTGATGCAAGGAAGCAGTGAGTAAAGATTTCTTTTATACTATACAAAAATGTGACTTGTCCAAAGCAAATCTCTCACTGGTAGGTTGATGCAGAAAACCTCCAGCACTGACAGTATGTAGGGATGTAGGGCAGATGCAGGGATGTCTATCCAAATGTGTAGAACTTGAAACAGGAGCTTGCTGGTACAGGTTGCCTGCTTTCCTTCAGGGAAGGCTGTTCAGGTGTCACTGGTGGTGGTGCTCTAATATCAATATTGATGACTGTTCTGGTGATTGGCTTAGTGGATAAGTAAGGAGAGGGAATATTGAATTCAGTATACTGGTTGATTCCTGTGTTTCTCAGAGCTTGAGTAATACAAAGGTCTAAATACATATACAGAAAGGATTAAAAAATCTTAAATAGACAAACTTGCTGAACTCTGGCAAACTTAACTGATTGATCTGTAGTAAGAGTACACCTTTTGCAATTCCCAAATATAGGGCATTTTAGAAATTTCCTATACCTAAATGCAGTAGCACAGTTAAAAATCTTTGGTCCTGGTGGCTCTGGTGACATTACTGGCCTGTTTCTGGTACACAACAAGATGTCATTTTATTTCTGAACAGAATGGCTTACTCACATGTTTGCAATGTATGTGTATTTGACTATTTTCATTCATATGCTTTGTATGTGGAAACAAAAATCTGTTTTTATGAACCCCACCATTAAAAGACAAACTGTAAACTAAGCCCCAGCAGCTGTCTCTGTGGTGCACAGCTACAGTCCTTCAGTGGATTCACATTTGAATTTTGATTAAATGACTGGTGTGCTGAAATCTCTAATGATTTTTTTTAACGTTTACTGGCAAATATCTTTGCTTTAATTCTGTTCCTCATAGGACTTCTTGATTAATGGCACAAATTTCCTATGGGAGACTTCATCTTTATGGATTCTCCAGTGTTTAACAGAGGGATCAGTTTGCTCTCTAGTCAGTCATCCATTGTAGGATAGAACACTTTAATCAGATTTGGAAGACTTTTATTTTCTTACACTGTTTGAAATTGCTCAAAAACCTTTAGGGAATGTGCAAGTGTAAATAATGACTGAAACCTTTCATGAGGGATATATGTTAAGGAGGAGAAACATTTATTTTGATGAAGTTTTCCTGGTATGTTGTAGTTGTAATAACTTACTTTGCAATAACAAAAATAAAGAAAATCTCAGTATCTCAAATATTTAACACCTCTGCCTAGAAGTGAGTGTCCCCTTTTCTTACAGCTACAGTTCAGTGTGTCCTGTAGTCTAACTGGTGTTGTGACATTTCTAAGACTTCATTCCTGACACATTCATAACACTCCTTGTTACACAATAGCTGACATTAGACCAAGCCTAAAACTGTGTTTGTGATGTTTGAATGTGTGACTGGATCTTGTGCTTTTGGAGTTCAAACTTGCTGCATTCAGTGAAACATTTCAATAACCAATAACATTGCCTCTGTTTGTCTTTCCTAGTAAGCAACAGATGCGGGTGAAAGATCCATCAAGAACCAACCCTGAGAAGCCGAAGAGAAGCAAAAGGCCCAACAGGCCCCAGGATGAGGACTCTTCAGATGATATTTCAGGTAAGTACATAAGGGGATGTTTGTCCTGAGGTTGAGGGCTAATAGCTTCCATGTTGACTAAGGAAAGCCACAAATCATTGGTACCATGAAATACTTTTCTTGCTTGAATTTATAACAGAAATATCCCCAGTCAAGTGTTTATGACATGATCAGTTGTTACACTAAAGGACTTCCCTGAAGGGCTGGAGAGTTGTTTGATCTTTGATGACAACCTCTCCATGTGAGGTCAGGCATGTGTGGCAGGAGGCTGTGTGGCTGAACAAGGAGCTTCCAGCTGAGCTCACAGGGAAGAAGGAGTGGCAGAGTGGGTGGAGGCAGGTTTGGGCTGCCTTTGCAGAGGTCTGGAGTGTGCAGGATTAGGGATTAGGTAAAGCAACTTCAGTTAGAATTGGGTCTGGTGAGGGGTGTAAAGAGTAAGATGAGCCTTTATGGATACAGTGGCAGTAAAATGAAGACTAGGGTGAGTGCAAACCTGCTGCATGAGGGGGCAGGGGTTCTAGGGACACAGGATGTGGGAAGAGGCTGAGGAACTCAATTCTTCCTTTGCATCTGTCTTCACATGTGAGCTCTGCACCTGATCCTCCCTGGCTCCTGACCTTAGTGGCAGACTCTAGGATATAAACACTGTCCAGAGCAGAAGATTGAGAACTGTTCAACAAACTGAATGCACACAAGTCCGTGGGTCAGATGGAATGCATCTGAACTGCTGAGAAAACTGCGTGATGTCATTGTGAAGCTGTGCTTTGCCGTCTCTTCATGGCAGCAAATTGAGGAGGCCAGCTGATAAGCAGGAGGATAGGTCTGCCATTCAGAGTGACTTAGACTGGCTGGAGAAATGGGCAGGCAGAAACTTCTCAGGGTTCAGCAATGGCAAGTGGAGAGTTTGGCACCTGGGCATAACCACATGCCATTACAGGGTGGGGATTAAGGCAGCTTTGCAGAAAAGGTCCTCAAGGTCCTAGTGCACACATTGAATAAAACCAAGCTGTGCTGTTTGTGCCTGCTGTAGGCAGGATTGTATAAATGAGAGTGCAGGACAGGCAGGTGATTCTTTCCATCTTTTCAGCGCTTGTGGGACTTCCTTGGGAGAGCCGTGCCCAGTTGTGGGCTCTCTCTTACAAGAAAGGCTGGTTTGCCAATGAGGCCAGTGGTTCACCCCCTCCAGATTTTTGAGGAGATTGAGAACATGATGTGGGAAGAGGGGCTGAGGGGAATGTCTTTGTTTAGCCAAAGGAGTGAAAGTATAATTTCTTTCATTGATTGCCTGATGGTAGTTACAGAGAAGGCAGAACCAGATTCTTGCAGGAAGTCCACAATGAGAGGACTGAAGGCAACAGATCAAATTTAGAGCATGGAAAATTTGACTAGGTGTGAGGAAGTTTATTTTATATTCACTCTGAGGGTGGTCAGACAGAAACCTGATTTTTTTGTGAGTTGGTGAAGCCTCAGTCCTTGATGATATTCAACATTCAGCTGAACAAAACCATGAGCAAACAGATCTAAATTAATATTTGGCAGTGCTTTAAGTGAAGGCTTGGACAAGATGGCCTTCAGAGGTTACTTCAAACTTAGCTTATTCTGTGATATAGTGAAATTTTTGCAAAAAATTATGACAGAGAAGAATGGTTGATATTCACATTTAGAATGAACAGTTGTAGTACGGATGCATGGGTGTTTGAAAAATCTTTCTTTATGGGTTGGAAAAAGGTCAATGGTCTGTGTTGTTATATGCAAAAATAGATTTATCTATTATTTTATTGTCAAAAACCAGGGAAATTAGTTTTGTACAAAAGTAATCCTTGTACTTTTGTACGAACAAGTTTATCTGGTTTTAAGAGGTGGCATTTATTGACTTGAAAAGAATTTCCATTACGGAAAGACTAAAAGAGATTCCTTCATAAAATTCAGTATGTGGGGCGCAGCTGGCTGATCTTTCCTACTTTAATTCTTTGCTGTTTTTTTTTCCTGGTGCTGAATTAATTGAAGATCACGGTCTTTCAGTGTCCACGTGCTCTCTTCCCTAGCCATTATTTCGGATGTCTAAAAGCGCGTGTGTGTTGTTCCCTGCAGGGCTCACCTGCCAGCACGTGAGCCAGGCCGTGGACGTGCCCCTCGTGAAGAGAGCGGTGGCTCAGAGCGTGTGGTCCGTGTGCGCCGAGTGCCTCAGGGAGAGGAGGCTGAGCGACGCCGAGCCCGCGGCGCCTTCAGACATCTGGCTGTGTCTCAAATGTGGCTTCCAGGTGAGCACGTGTGCTCGGTTTGCACAGGTGCAGTTTCTGAAGGATGTGTTGGGGATCCTTGTCTGTTTGGCATCTCATTACAGAGGAACAGTGTGACGCAAGTGCTTGGTTGTGAGAGTCCCTGCTTCAGCTTCCTCGGGAAGTGGGGTGCGGCCTCATGTTCCTGTTAATTTTTGGCACTGTTTAGGGTTAGCTTTATGTGTCACACGAGGCCTTTCTGGGTCACTGTGACCCCAAGTCGTTAAAAATCTCTTTTCCCATCCCGAGCGCTTGACGAATGAGTTGGAGTTCTTCATTTCTCGGTCTCAAGGTTGTTTATTGCGTCTTATCTATAAAAAGTTTTCTCCTGCCCTGCTGGGGTCTGTCCAGCAGGACAGTTCCAGGCACACTGCCTGCCCCTGGGGCAGTGTTATGTCCTTATACTAAAAACTACATATACAATGTTTACAATTACTTTCCAGTACCTATCACCTGTGTTAGACAGTGAGTAGACTGTAAGTACCAACATCACAGCAGAAGATGGAGGCCAAGAAGAAGAAGGAGAAAGGCTGGACACGCCCAGTTCCCTCCATCTTGCCTCCTGAACCCCCATACCAAAAACCTAAAATCTAATTTTCCACCCTGTGATAACTTCACTAATATTCTACTTAAGCTGTTAGGGCTTCATATAAGGTTGGTAGTTTGCTCCATGGGCCATAATCAAAACCACAGGTGTTTGGGACTCTGTGCCAGGGCTTCTGAGGCCCTTGGCAGGGGTCCTGGCCATTCTGGACAGCCAGAGGGGTGTTCTGGGTTCCCACAACAGTGCAGTGTGGCATCACAATTAGTGATGGCCCTGCCTTTTCTCTGTTCTTATCTGCATCCTCTTGCCACTTACAGAGAATTGGCTCTGGGAGCTGTGTGGCTGCAAAATGCATCTGTTCAGCTGGCTGCTCTGGCAGGAGTTCCCATAAATAGGAATGAATGGGAAACCAAACATGTATATTGCTGAATGAGCTTGTGCTGTGGACACTCAGTTACTAGATTTGACTGAAGCCAGGGAGAAAGGACTGTGCTGGAGTGAGAATGCTGCTCCTGTGGCTACCAGCCATTAGAAAGGATCAGTTATAATGTCAGACCATGGCCTCAGAGTTCAAAGTGGCAGGTCCTGACCCCAAGGGCTTTCACAGATTTCTGCCCTGGGTTTGAAGTAAAGAAAAAAATTTGCTTGATACAGCAAAATTCAGTTTATGGGCAGTATCAGGCTCAGTTCAGCCAATAGTTGCCTGAACAAAGCATGTCATGATTTTCTTGGAATTTCAGTAGATTTCACTATAGAAAACTACTTTCAGTAGGTTTTACTATAGAAACCAGCTCCTACCAGTATAATATGAAGAGATTTGATTTTGCAAAGAAACATGCTATTCACAGGGTTCAGAAGATAGTTAACTAGATCTATATGAGGAAGACTCATATATCTTGCTTGAAAAACTTCTGTTAAGGTGGCCTTTAAAAGGAGTTAATTCTGTGTGCTTCTTCATGTTCATGCTGTTAACAGCTTCTAAAACTTAATGCCTGTTCAGAGACCGGTGCTGAATCTAAGTCCCACTCTCTTCATTCTTGAACCATTGCAAATGCTTTCTCCTGAAATTGCTGTACATAAATAGTGTGTTCTGAGCAGCTTTGTAGTACAAAGCACTTTATGTACCTTTTTCATTTGCTGTCTGGAATGCATTTGACATTCTTGAGCAGTGAGGGTTACCTATGCTGTTGTCTTCCTTGATATTCTGGACCAAATATGCTACATAGTTGTTTCATTCACAATTACTAGAGCATTCTTTCTTTTGTGAATGTTATAGTTTTTGTATGTTGATATTTAATCAATACTTATCCAAAAGCTAGGAATTATTTCTATTCAGTTAGAGCAAACATTCTCTATATTTTTAAGTGATTTTCCAAGTAGAAAAGATGAGAATGTTAAATCAATCCTTACAAATGATAAATAAGTAGAGCAGAATAGCTTCATGTCTAGTTTTGAAAAGTGGAGTTTTTGTAGTGTATTTACTAATAATACATCTTTTCTTTTTCCATTTCCTGCCCCTTACTGGGTTGATGTGTCCATTTTTAGGGATGTAGTAAGAATTCAGAAGGCCAGCATTCTCTGAAACACTTCCAAACTGCACGCACAGAGCCTCATTGCATCGTTATCAACCTCAGCACATGGATCATATGGTAAGAGTCAGTGTGTAGGTGTTTGTGTGTGCCTGTTTCTAGGACTTCACATAACTGAAAGCAGTGTCTTCTCATAGTAAAGAATGATTCTGACAGATAAAATGAATGCTTTCTGTAGAAGAAAGGTAGGCTTTCTGGAGGCAATATGTGTTTGTCCTTTGTATTCTCTGAAATTATTTAAATCTATAAGGACCACAGTGAATTGGGACTGATCTATAGAAGAGCATATATGAGATGAGAGAATTCAATTCTATTCCATTTTCTTAGTGGGAAAAATTGAAACTGAGAGCTTAAGTAATTTGTGTAAGGTTGTTTGGGAGGTTTGCTAGAGCTGGGATGTGCATGCAGATAGCCCTGAATTCCAGTTTGTTTCTTCTTTTGTTTAGGTGTTATCAGTGTGATGAAGAGCTGTCAACACATTGCAACAAAAAGGTTCTGGCTCAGATAGTTGACTTCCTTCAAAAACATGGTGCCAGGGCTGAACCAAGTAAGTTTGCACAAATAGTTTTATCTGGAGATAATAATAAGCATTTCAGATTTTGAGTCACGTTAAAAATACAGCTGAAAAATTGTGTACAATGTGACCATGATGTAATTTATAACTGCAGAACTTCTTGGGGAAGTAATACCTATCAAGACATAATGTCACCTTTTTTTCTATTTTTAAAATGTATGATTACATTTTAAAAATATTTTGGATGCTATAGGGTAGTTTTTCTGAATTTTGTATTTAACAAAGAAAGTTTACCCTAGAGGAGTTGTTTTCTTAAATGTGATAAGGCCATATAAATTAATAAATTAATCACAAATTAACACATAATAATATATCAAAGTGTACATTTTACATTCACTATAAATGAATTTAATTTTCTTGGTATGGATGTATAACAGCTTAAAATTTTCTGATTTAAACTTGTTCTCCACAGTTTCCTAGATTTAAGTGGATTTTCTGTTGTACTCTGCTGTTGGATGCAATGTCCATTTTTACTGTTTGGTTTTAATTGATAGAATTGTCATTCCTATTAAAATAAGATAGTATTAAATTATTTTCTTATACTAGGAGCATTCTACACCTTCTCAATATATGTGACAGTGGATAGAACTTCATATGTGTGGCCCTCTACTCTTGATAATGTTGGTGTTATTCATCCCTGCTGTAACACACTTGGCAGCATTTCTGGCTTGGGACTTGGGAGTGCATTGAATTCCACATTTGATTCTCAAAACCCACCTTAAGTAAACTTTTAAAACAATTGGTTGCATCCTTTAACAGAGATAATCAACCAGTTAGAAGTGAGAAAGGATAATAGTTGCCATACAGAATTACACTAAGTATTCTTCTTCTAAATGTGCACCTACCAGTTTTAAGAGATGTTACATATTTTTTGAGGGAAAAAATGAAGGTCTGTTTAAAAATACAGTATTTTGATCTAGTCACGGGTTGTATATTGAATTATTCAATTTTAATGAATTGATATATTGCTGCCTTTTGCATCTTTTTTTCTTGGAGCAGTGAATATACAGCATGTGGTTTCACTTTTATTCACAGATTTAGTTTCAAATTTTTGTGTGATTAATATGTGTTGCAGCTTTCTTGCAGATGAAAATGCTGTGGTGGTTTTTTTTCAGTTAATGTAAGGAAAGCAATTTTATTCCATTATTGTACTGCTGGATAAGGCTTTCTGAGTGATACAACTCTGTGCCTCATGGTTTAAATTCTAAATTTGTGAAACTTCAAAGCATCTAAAGCTTTCAGATGAAGAAGTTTAGAAGTTTTCTGTGAAATGTCTTAAATTAAGCAACTAAAATTCCAAACTAACTCAGGAAAAGTAAGCATATTTATAGCAGAGCAGAGCAGCATATGTTTCTGCTGTATATGCATTTGTGTTTCATTTTGGTGCTCTGTTTCGAAGATGCTTACATTTCATGTAAATGTTTGCGGATATAACTGGAAACTTTGCTGTAACTGGTACCAAAATTGTGGGGTTTTTTTTTTGTTTAGGGCTTAGACATAGCCTTGCAGGGTGCCTGCCTTGGCAGCAAGAGGTCTGAGAGTGCCAGGGTTGCAGCCACGTCTCCTGCTCCATTCTGGGAAAGGGTTGAGGCTCCAGTGCATGATTAATGCATTAAGTGTGTGTGTGTACTTCCAGTGATGTTTTAAAGGTGAAAGTCTGTCACCCTCTCCAGTCTGTCTGTGTTGAGCAGTTTGGATTGCATTCCTGAAAGCTCTGGGAATGTTGGCCCAGAGATGATTTGTTGGGTTTTCCTGAGTGGCAAGAAAAGGACAGAAAATCTCTTTGCCCAGGACTGTTGCTTTAGGCCAGGCTCTTTGCTGGGAGAGGCTGGAAAACAGCCGTGTGTTTATAAATGACTGGTGTGCATGACAGGGAACTCCCAACCAGAATTGACACTCTTGGTTCATTTTTATAAATGACAGACTTGGTACTTTCCCTACAGAAATCTACGGTTTTTTCTTTTCTTTAAATTAGGCTACCTTTAGGTATTCTGAAAAAATAAAATCTGAAATTGAAATGTAGTTCATGCTGTTGTCCAGAATACAAAAGGACATGATATATTACTGTGAAAATTAACTCTACTTTTGTTTTGGTTAAATTTTTTTTAGTGTAACATTTTATTTCATGTTCCATTGATATTTTCAGTGTTGTTATCATTCTTTAAATTATTAGTAGGTGTAGATTTTTAAAATTCATTTTGTGTATTCACACCTTAAAACATAAGCTAATTTTAAGAAAATGATAAATAACTTGTAAAAAAAAAGTAGTGTAAAACTGACAGTTAATTAATATTTTCACTTAAAAATCAATCTTGTGCTTTTTTTCCCCATTGCTTTGCCATTTCTTTCTAAAAAAGCAGTCAAAGTGAAGACAGTTCTCATAGCAGAATGTGGCACTGTAACAAGAATTCATCTTACGTCTGCATTTCTTTCTGTTGTAACAGCTAGTTGGCACGGTGCATCATTAAAATTCAAATAGCATTGTGTAGAAATTTCTGTAGAAATGCAGTATGAACATGAATTGTCAATTGCTAATATGCACAAGGCTGCTAGGATTTTTTTTTTTCAGTTCTCAAAAGTGCAGGATTCATTTAAAGATAAAATGATCAGTTGAAACATGTGAGAGAGGGTTATATAGATTTCCTAATTAATGCATCTTGGAAAATAAACAAAAGCAAAATGCTTGTCATTTGGTACTAATGTGGTGGAATAGTGTGGCAGCAGGATCCCTGCTTTTCACTCGGCCTCTCATAAAGATTCAACTTCACTTCAGCTGTAAAAATGTGCAAATTACATTACTACTACATGACTGACTTTTGTAATTACATTAAGCGATTGAGATAAATCCCAGTGCTGGGTTCCCAAAAGAATGCTTGCAGCTGTGTGATTTTCACATCTGATCCTATGGTTTGTTGTACCCAGCAATGCCTGCTCTTTTCTTTTTTTTTCCCCCCTTTTTTTTTAAAGAAGTCTGTTTGGTTAAGAGGTCATGTTGGGCACAAGCTGGAAGAAAAAAGCAAGATTGCTTTCTAGGGTGTACCACCCAGAAATTTGTTTTGTGGAGAAGGTTAGCAGGCCGTGATGATTGCCGCAGAAAGGCAGGTGCAGTATTGTCTGTGTGGCACACTTGTGAGCTTCACATGGACATAATGCACATGTAGTACACAGGAACCATGCTGAGACATTGCAATCTGTGTGTCTGCTCATTTACTGGAGAAAACAAATTGTTTTGCTGTCTTAAAAGTGAATCTTATGCGTATTTTCCTTTACAAATGCGAAATTTTATGTTGGTGGAAGCATAAGATCACATACTTTTTGTAGAGCAGTTAATTAAATTGGTTTGTGTGGCAATAGAATGGAAAGGAAGAAGATATATTCTCAAATGTTGTAGTTAAATTTATTGTTGGGAGGGGCAAGCAGAGGAAGGGGGTTTTTCTGGTAAGTTCAGCTGCCTGGATTTGCCAGTAATTGAAAGTTAGCAGCTTGATTTTTGTTTTGATGGCTGTAACTAATGTATAAAAATAGATACAAATTTACAGTACATGTGAGAGTTGTAGACTTGTATGGAAAAACTGGTAGTGGGATGAATAACTTTGCAGATTTGCGTTCTGTTGTGGATATTAGCAATTGACAAATGATCATATTGAAAAAAATGGCATTCTTTTCTTAAGTGACTTTTACATGTAGTTTGGAGTCATAGAAGACCATTCTATCTACTTGAAATGAAGTAGCAAAATAAAACAGATTGTATTGATTCTCTGAATCTGAAAATACACTTTGGCAAAAAGACATTTTTTGGTATTGGTCAGAAATTTTCTTTCAAATCTGCTTACTTTCTAGTAAGCTCCTTGCAAAGGAATGAAAATCGAATCATTGACAAAAAAAATTTTTACGCATTCTGTCAGTTTTAACCACAGATTCTCACCTTTCCTGTCCATGTACTTATTTGCTTGTGAGGTGTAACACAAGTCATCTGAGCACAGAGGATCAAAAGCACTCCTTGAATAGGTTGCTTTTCCACACTGTGCAGATGTCTTTTCTAGTTTATAACATTGTGGCAAGACTCAGAGAAATGAAATTACAGTTTAGAATCTTTGATTTGTAGGGTTGTAACACTAGTGGCGAAATTTGACTTTTAAAATGTATAGCTAGTGACCATTTCAGAAGAAAACCAGGCTGTTTTTCTAAAGGTTGGATTCTAATTGTGGTACAGTGTTGAAAAAAAATCTAAATTTTTTAGATAAAAAAGGAGTGCCAGACCATTTAGTAGGATTTTATAATACAGTGTGATGAGAACTTGGTAAAAGAAAGACAGTCTGTTAACCTTGCTTTTACTGTGAAGACCTTCAGCTGAAGTACCAGAGTTGTATTCAATAGAAAAGGCTTGACCTTGGAATGAAAGTGTGTATTCCTGGAACCCTTATTTTTAATTTAAAAAAAAGTTGCATTGAAAAGATGAGCAATAGTGCTTACTCCCCTGGCTGAAAAAAAACCTTGATGTCATTTATCTTCTTGTTTTCACGCCATCTGCACCCCCAGGCAGAGCTCAGTTTCAGCAGAGACGGTGCAGAAGTCCATGTGTGCTGCAAATGTTGGAAATGCTGGCAAAACAAATTGATAGGGAACCCACAATAAGTTTCCCTTTGCAAGTGGATGTGTCAGCACCGTGTGTTTTTGTACACCTGGTGCAGTAAGTGGCTCTGCTTTGTGGAATGAGTCATTGTCCATGCTAATGTTTGGCTTAGGAGTCTCAGTCACTGCTCAGAGGCTGGTGCTGAGCAGCTGTGGGACAGAGCAGTGTTCCCTGCCTCCAGAGAGCTTTTGGGACCACAGGTGAGTGGAGCAGGCACAAGAAAAGCTGAAGAAAAGAGCAGCAAGAAAGGGAAATTCCCTTTGCAGGCAGGAGCTGTAGCAGAGGAGCAGATTCTGCTGCCCTTCTTCCCAGGGCTCTGGTGGGAGGGGGGCTTTCTGGCATGGGGGAGAGCAGGGTGGTGTTGGGAAGCTTTGCCAGGCTTGAGGCTGTGTCTGTGTACAGAAACTTGAGGCTGTGTCTGTGTACAGAAACTTGAGGCTGTGTCTGTGTACAGAAGCAGCTGTCTGAGGGTTGGAGGTGGATATCATGGTGGCACCAGAGGTGGGCACTGACCTGTTGCCTATGGAGAGATGATCAGTAGGGCTTGATGATTTGGATGAAGAGCTGGGCAAGGGGTTTTGGCAGAGTGTCTGTGTAGCCAGTTGGACTTTGTCAAAGGAAGAGAAGGTTCTGGTGATCAAGGCACAGCTTAGGTGAGAGTTTTCCTTGTATGGCTGCATCAGAAAGGTCACCTCTGCAGCAGAACAGCAGGAGAGTCTGACAGAGGGGCAGGGTCTGAATGTGAGCCCCAGGCACAGTGGGTTCTCTGTCCCTGCTGGGGAAGGACAGCCTGCCTAGGGCCGATGTCCACACTACCTGGGAAAGGCAGAGAGCTTAAGGGTTACCATGTCAATTCTCTAAAAGAATTAATTATTATTAATTATAATTATATTATAATTATTATAATTAATTATAATTAATTGATTATTATTAATTAATTAGTTAACTCTAAAAGAGTTAACTAATGACAGAAATCTGTCTGAATTTAATTACTTCTGTGCTTTTCACCCAACCTGCTCTCATTAATATGAACAAGGTCCTTTATAACAAATATTACTGTGTGTGGACAAATAACTCAGACTACTTCTTTTATTCTGTTAGGCCAGGAGCTGACTGTCCTTGTGGGCAGCTGCAGATGGCAGCCATTTTGATGGAATCCTTCAGCTAGGATCCTTGTATATACACTGGCTTAAAAGTCACTTTTCATACCCAAAAGCACGCCCGTTGATTGAGTCAGCAAGAGTCCATGAAACAGTTGTTCAGTGCAAATGCACTTTAAAAAATTACATATTAGCTTTTTGATTAATAACATGCTTGTAGCCTTGGGTTAATCTTGCAGAAGGACCCTCCAGCCCCAATCTGTAGAAGTATTAGCTATCACAGTCATTACCAGCATGTTCTGTTAAGACTGACCAACTCTTCACATGTCAAGTAAACATTCAGCTTCAGGCCTGTCTGTCATTTATCACTGAGTTGGGGACATTGAGCAGAGCTAAATTAAAAACTGCTGTCCTTCCTCTGGCTCTGTATATGTACTTAAAAATATCTGTGTGTTATAAGCAAGGCAGCAGGTAATGTTTGTAATGGCAAAGCACCACATTTCTGTGAGGACTTTTTCACAGGTACAAAGAACACAGTAAAACGTCATGTGGATTGTGTTTTTAAAATTATTAACAAATCAAAAGGCAGTAATTAAAACCTTCTGAATGAAATGAGGTTCCTAACTTTGATACAACATCCAGGCATTTTTCCAATTTGTTACTACTTCTTCTTATCCCTATACATATATCCTTATCCCTATATATCCTCCTAATTATCCAGCTTCATGGCAATCAGATGTCTGGTTCTCATTTCTTGTGTTTTGTAATTGCGTATTCACCCAGCTCTCATCACAAAGCTGGATGCCTTGGCTTTGTTTTCCCTCCCTTAAATAATTTGTATGTAAGGTTCAGCAAATGGAACCTTGCTACTTGTGTGAAGCTGCCATTTAACCATGAAGTGAAATGCTTTTATCGAGTTTGCCCTGCAGATATGGTCCGCTGTGGCAGTGCTGTCCATATTTGGTGGCTGTGCAAGGAGAGCCAGGTGGTGCTGCAAAGCATAGCACAGTGAAGCGTGGACAGATCTAGGTTTGACATTTGTCATCCTGTACTGCTAAAGGGAAGAGAAAAATCTGCTTTTCCATATGCTTATGCTTTAATTTTTGCCTGCAGTTTTGTCCAGATGGCCCTGTGAACATTGTTTACTTTAAGATGCTGTCCCAGATGTTTTTGAATGCCGATGGATAAATGCAACAACTGTGGTATACTAATACACAAATTATTTCCACAATTTTGGCTTTTTTTTCCATCTTTTTTTTTTTCTCTTTTTAACCGTCTCTTTTCCCCAGCACTGCTCTGGATGGCCCACTTCTCTGAGGGGAAAACATCTCCAGTGATAATATTAAACTTCTGAGAGAGAGCTGTGCCTTTGAATTGCAGATAACTTGGAGCTCCCATTCCCATGCTGTGGCTGTTGTGAAGCTCTGTGGGTGGATGAGCTGCAGACACTGTAGCATTCCCCTTCTAATCATGCCAGCTAAAAGGTGTTGCTTCATGTAGCCCATAAAACAGTGACTCTTTAGGGTGTGAGCAGCTTGCTTGTTGTTTATTATATTCAAAACCACTTTGTCTGCTTTTTCAAGGAGAATTCCATCTTTTACTTTGCCCTTGTACCATCTTAATTTTCCACCTGAATGGAAAGGAGAGTAATTTAAAGCTGTGTAAGCACTGTTAACAAGAACATTTTAAAATGTTTTTAAACAGCAAAGCACCTCTAACTCTGTTTTGAAAAACTCTGATACAATTTGGAAGAACAGTTGTGCCTCAGTGGCACTGTAGGGTGCAGGCAGACTGCGTTAGAACCTTGTTGCCAGATACAATAGATATTTTAATAACTTCTTTTTAATTTAATTATATTTTTTTTTCATTTTTCTAAGCAAGAAAGGTATTTAGGAGCGTACATAAAAGAACCTTTTGGCATGAGAATTTCATTAACGTAAATAGGTCTGTTAGTTATTTCTCAAGAACATTTTAATGAGACTTCAATGTGAAACTCATTAGAACAAATACATGAATTCATATGTCAAGACAGAGATTGTAGCATCACAGTTCTTGGCATCTATTAAGTCCATAACTCGTTTACATTGACGTGCATTGTTAATCAATATTTAAGACACTGCAGATGTCAGTAATGTTCACATTTAGTCCTGCAACCATGACAGTATGAAAGTTGCTAGTAGAATTCAAGGCTAAATATTGTTATCTCAAGTCTTTCCATTACCTCTAGGCTACAAGTTAATGACTGTCTAACTTTGCTGTCCCTCATCTATTTAAATAATAAGGGAAACAAGGAATTATGTGGATGTTATAGCATAGTTTTAGCAATTTTTTGTTACTTGAAATTAAAACACTAGCATTGTATGTACATGGATTGCATTAGTAATTCCTCAGGCTGTGACAAAGAGAGGTGAGTTGAGGAGCACATGTAGGGATCATGAGCCTTGGGCTGTTGACAAGGCAGTTGGAACAGAACACTAGAGTTGATAAAGACTTGCAGCATTCAGTGGTAACTTTGGGCTACCTCCTTTCAAATGCACCAAAAATCAGACTTGAGGTGGTGTTTCTGATGGTTATAATGAACGTATATCTCAGCTGCCTATTGTTAATAAATAACTCACTTTACTTACTGCTTGTCTAATTGTGGAAGTTACAGTCTTATAGAACAGTATGATTATTATGGAAGGTTTTGTTGGATATAAGTTGTTGAGGGCATTTTTTTTACTCCCCAGGCCTTAATCTGTTATGTCTAGTTTTTTTGGTTTTTTTTGTTTTTAAGACTGCGTACAGCAGCTTGGAGTATTATCAAGGTATCTTCCACATATGTTAAAATTAATAAACATAATAATGAAAGGACTTAATTGATTAAACTATGCAGTTCTGTGGTCATATTAATCTATAATTTAATTATAGGTTCATCAAAAATCATACGTCTTCGTGAAGAAAACAGTGAAACAAGTGAAATACTGAAAGGAAAAAGTTCTGGTAATGGTGCATCAGTTCCAGTTAAAGGAATAAATAATTTAGGAAACACCTGCTTTTTTAATGCTGTCATGCAGGTAAGATGGAAAGATCATGCCACTTTCTCTTAATAGATTTCAGAAATACTAAGTCTGTATAATCTATGGGCTTCTGAAAAGGTTTTGTGTATTACAGGTCTTCGTTCTGCTTTCTGAAAGTCCTGTTCAAATTGTTTTTACTCCGTGCTATCCAAGGAGTATTTCCTGTTATAATAAAAAAGAATTCTTGGATCACTGGCATTTTGCACAGTAATGAAACAAGTGAAAATGCCAAGTGTTTTACACACTGCGTACGTGTGTGGGTTGTACTGTAGCATATGGTTTTATTTGAACTTCAGCATTATTAGTCATGACTAATGCAGGTTGTCTGCCATACTGGTGATGTGAATAGTGGCACTGTGTGCATAATGTAAATGTCTGCACTATTCATTGGCATGATTTTAAAGCCCTGCTATGGATGCAGTTATAAAATTATTTTCATCGATTATGGTTTTTTTCTGACTACAATAAGAGGAATGAGCTATACAAATACACATCTATTGATGTTTAATGCACAACCAATCCAACATCCTCAAAAAAAGCAGCAGCCTTAGTGGGTTTTATATTGCACCATCCTGTTGCTTGTCAGCTGAGCAGATACATCTCTATGTCTGCAGGCAGGAGTGAGCAAGTGAAAGAAAACTGCTGCAAAGGTGTTCTGCACTGGCACACCTCACCTTGTGTTTATGATGTTGATTGCAAAATTAATCAAACAGAGAGTAAAACTGCAAATTGTTATCTGTCCATACTTAGGGCATCACAGAAGCTTAAGTGATCTGCTGTCAGAGTTGACCAAAAATAAAGAAACAAAGATGAGATATGCTGAGTTGATTTCTTTCCTAAATTCAGAAGGATAATACTTTTCATTGTGCCAAAGCCTTTGTGCTTCATGGGGCATGGTGAGAGGGACTGCAGTGTTTAAAAGAGGCAATTGGTTTCTGATAATAATGTCCTCATCCAAAAAAGAAAAAAACCAAAAAAACCTTGTTATTCAATATAAATTAAAAACTTATTACTAGTGAACTGTTTCGAAATTACAGAAAAGGAAATAAATAAAATTTTAGAAACAGTCAAGTTAGTGAATTTTTTTAGTGCTCCTTCTAGTGGTTGTATCTAAACCTCGGCTACATGTTATGAAGTGTATCTGGTTTGGTCTACCCCTGAATCTAGAATATATAACTAAAGAAACTCTGTAATTGAATGATCAGCATATTTCTCACATTTTTTTGTTTTTTTCTTTCTTTAAGAACCTGGCACAGACTCACGTACTAAATGAACTGATGTATGAGATAAAGGAGAAAGGAACAAAGTTAAAAATCTGTCATACTTCAGATTCTCAATTGGTAAGTGTGCACTGAGAAATACAAATTTGGGAAAATGTGGGAAGAAGCTGGAGGACAGGAAATCACATCTCCATTAAAAGCACACTGTTACTCTCCCATTTCTTTTGCATTTTAATTGCTTAGTGGGTTTGTGCTACCTGTGAACTGGTTTCTTTTACAGAAATCATTACTCAGCCCTAGAGAAGGAGGAGGAATTACTTCCTTTCACATTTTTTGATATTGAAGTATCAAATAATACTTTACCTTAAGAAAGAGCAGCTGGCTTATTTTTACTTGCCATTTAATTTCTTCAGTATGAATGTATGATACAGGAAATAGTTTGTTTGGCTCTAGAAAGTGTCTGTGAAATGTTTTATTCCAGTCCATCCCTGCCCTTCATTGATAAGGTCTGTAAAGTTTATTACATGCTTCACAGGCCAGGGGATTAAAATGAGAGAAGAGAAATTTCAGTGAGGAACAAATTTGTCCTCAAACTCATTGTAGGCATATGGGAAAGTGTCTCCTGTGGCTATTATCCAAAGAATATTCTGCTGTTCTGGTCATGTCTTAGAGACTTGGGGTTTCATTATATGTTGTTGGCAATAAAGATAATACCCCTTTCCCTCTGCTAGCTGGAGCAAACAGTTTACGGAGGATTTTTTTCTTAGTTTTTTCCTTTCTTTTCCCTGCTGTTTGCTGTGAGCTTTCTGGTGGCAGTGAGGGTAGAGGAGTGGTATTCTGTTTCAGATACCTCTGAAATGATGATGATTTCACTGTGTTGCTGTAGGTGATGTTCATAGCTCCTCCAGGCAAGAACAGTGTGCAATTCACTGCATTGCTGTCTTTATTTCCTCCAGTGGCAGTTCAGAGCAGCAACATGCTTCACAAAGTTATCCTGAGCCACAGCAGAGGGCTGGAGCTTGTTTTTGCCCCAAGGCTTAGTGAGCCAGTGGGGTGTTGGCTTATGCTTGATGTGTAACTTGCACAGCCATAAGGTTGAAAGATTTATTTTTAATTTCAATGCTTACAATGTAAATAAGGTCTTTGGAGCAAAGACTGTATTTTCTGGTCTGTGTATGCCAGTGCAGAACTTGGCATTGAATAAGAGGGCTGCAGTAGTCTAATTAACAGTAATGCAGAAACCTGCAGCTTCTTGTTTGGTAAGGGGCCTTTTCCCACTTTTTGATAGTGCATATAAAGCAAATACTTTATATTTGTGTGTATCCATATCGCTTATGTTTTGTGTGGGTCTGCTTTCTGGACAAGGTGCCCTCTCCAAGTGTTTATCTGGCATTTGTAATCTGTTTTTCTGAGAGTCAGGCCAGCTAGTAGGGAGCACTGGGGGCACATAGGAGCCTTGGAGCATGTTAGGGAGAGCTGGGATCTGTGGTCATTTTAACAAGTGGTGTGTAAGCAGTGCAGGATTTTAAAATTCTGCTTTAAAATTGGCTTGATTGGCTTGAACCTTCCATATCCAGAACCTGCTGGCTGGGCTGAACATCATACCAAGAGGGGCTGTGCAGGATGCAGCCTGTGCCTGGCTCCCAGTGCCACAGGGTGCTGTGGGATCTGCCATCAGCTCTTGCTGTGAAGCACTGCTGGTACCTTCACAGCACCTGGTTTGTGGAGGAATAGGTTGTGTTTCTGTGGCTGCCAGATGTGTGGAAATGGCAGTGTGTGGCTCACAGATCAGAGAAGCTGGATGTCCCATTCCTAAGGCTGGGTAGCAGAGAGCCACTGAGCACAATCTTACACTGGCCCATGGAGGTGGTCACCTGGGTTGTCTCTCCAGATGAATTTCAGTGCATGTGGAGGTTGGAGTAAAGCAGGTGGTACAAAGTTTGCTTGTTTTTGTGAGAACCAGACCAGCTCATTGGCATGCTTGTTACCAAAGTTATTGGTTACCACCAATAATTGTTTGGTTTTGCAACGATTACTCCTTAAATAATAAGCCTGCTCTTAAATTATTTCAGTCAAATGGTTGACATCAACATTTAAAAAAACCACCCCGAAACACTCTTAAGACTGAAAGTTACATTGCTCTTTATCATGTATCAAGTAACTTGAAAGAAGCTTGTGTCATTACTTTTGAAATCTGATGTGTAATTTGCCTTTGTTTTTGAAGGATCCTTTGGTGGTAAACCTGTCCAGCCCGGGACCTTTGACTTCAGCAATGTTCTTGTTCCTTCACAGCATGAGAGAGGCTGGAAAAGGTCCTCTGTCTCCCAAAGTGCTGTTCAGCCAGCTTTGTCAGAAGTATGTATTGTGTCCTCAAGCTTATCTTTCACTTATTTTTTTAATTTTAGTTTCCAGTGATGTGTTCCTAAGCATGCAATGTCTGTTGTCCTTTCTAAAGAAACTGTTAGATTTTAACCAGGCAGTCCAGAAAGCAGCTCCTTCATGTTTTAAAGTTGAAGGACTCCTTGTTGCACACCAGGGTTGTACCTGCTCTCTGTGTAATGTGTGGCCCAGTTCATAACCATGGGCATTTAGTGGGCTCCAAACTGAGTGTGAAGGGGCAGAAGGGGGCATGGTAAAACTGAAGAAAATGGACTACCTTCCTGGTTTTGTTGTTTGTTAGCATAAAGCTGTGCTAACACTACGAAGTGTATGTGGGTATTTTGTAAAAAAGAATAAGATTTTAAATGGGGAACTTCTGCTATGATGTCTAACCTTGGCATTAATTCAAAATTAAAAAGGGTCTAACAAGTAAGGACTTGAAGCAGTACTGAAATGGCATATGGCTCCAGATTGCAAAGAGCTTACAAGCCCTCAAGAAACTCCTGTTTCTTGGTGTGGAAAATGTTTACAGTGGTGCTTTGTAGGTACTTACAATTATGATGCAAGCAACCTTGCTTTTAAAAACACCTGTAGAAGACCTACTTAAAAGTTGATACAAGTATTTAAATGTTGACTTACTAGTAACAGAATCTGTAGAAGCAGAGTAGCTGGAAGATGGTAAATATGAATCTCATATTTAAAAAAGAGCAATGTTGTGTTATAATTTATTTGCTCCCTTATTGCTGTGTCAAACTTAAAGCATTCTGCAGCATGGCAGTTAGGAGGAAAGTTGCAGCTTCCTACCATGGAGTTCCAGGACAACCTTAGTGAGCAGGAATGGATTTAAAATATGGTAAAAAGAAACAAAGGCATTTAGAATAGAGCAGGCACAATTTAATTCTGTAAAGAAACAAGTCATTGCTTTTTATTTATCCTCAAAATTCAGCTTCAGAAATTTAATATTATATTTTTTCTGTTGTACTTGTCTTCCTTTTGATTCTTTGAACTGTAAAAGGAAATGTGTGTAAAGTTACCTTACAGTATTTTTGAGTCAAACAGCAGTGTTCTTTGTTTAGCATTATCTACCTGGAAGAAAAATATATAGGGAAGAAAACGATATTGTTTTCTCACTCCTCCTTGTGTTTCAAGGCTCTCTCAAAAAATGTGAGTGCAAGAACTAAATTTGGCTGAGAAATGGGAGGAAAATTATTAAATAACACTAGTAGTTTTTTCCCAGTTAGTATTAAGGATTGAAGGGAAAAAATGATGTAAAACATGTTTTGAAGCCCACCTTAGCAAATTGATTGTGAAATAATCACAATGCAGTGCAGTTCAGATGGGATGCTATTTTTAGAAGTGACAGGCATTTTGTGTCTGCTCTGTGTGTCTGTAGTCATTGAGCGATGGCAGTATTAAATCTCATCTATCTGGTTGTTCTGTTGTCTTTTGATCATTAAGATGTGCATACACTTTAACTAGCAGCTAAAATTGAAGCATTTTAATGTGGTCAGCACACTTTTGCTATTTAGACAAATATCTGCTAGCTCCTACCGTCGCTCTCCTTCATCCCTACTTCTTACTTTCGTTATCTTTGCAGAGCACTACTTAGATACAAATCCTTTACTAGCTCTAGTATAGCTCTACTATCAACAGCAGAAGTGTCAGCCACATCCTGTTAGTGAGAAGTTAGATGTTCAAGGCCAGTAAGGGGCTGGACAGGTATGACAGAAGGTTTTGGTCTTTGGATTGTTTTCATATTGTTTGTGACACAAGTAATAAAGGGAGAGTTTCAGAATATTCAGCAGTGTGCAGTGGTGAAAGTAGGAGAATGAGAAATCTTCATCTTTGCAAACTGAATACATTTACTATTTATTAGCTTTAACAGTATGAATGCAGTGTTCTGTCATGTCATTTTTACAAAGCCTTTTTCTTTCTTTTGTTTTAAAGTTGGCTTTCTATTTTTCATCAAAGTTGAAATGCAAGAGAGAGCAGGGCAAGACTGCAGGAGTTTCAGCTAGGAAGAAGTCTGTGTTACTGCAGCTTTCTCTGTAAAACTGCTTCTTGACTGCTGCCAAGAGGTTGTGTTAATGAAGTAATCCTAGAGGCAGGCACTACCCGTAGTCTTCATATTGCATTAGCACAAACTCTTTTTATTCAAGAAGCAAAGTTCAAACAACAAGTTTCCTAAAGGGTTGACTGGATGAATGTGTAAAAGGAAGAACTGCACTGACACAGCTACCAGGGAGAAGGACATGGGGAAGGGCACTATTATTCTGATAGTAATGTTTTGGGTTTATATAGAGATTACATAAAGGTTTGCTGATTCCAGTTACAAACTCTTTTTCTTTTTTTTTTTTTAATTATAAATTCATTCTTTCCCCATCACAGATCTTGCTGTCTCAGTGCAAGTATACAGTAGGTCACCATACCTTTCTTCGGTAAAGAATTTATGAAGGAGATTGTACAGATAGTGTAGGACAGAGAAGGGTGCAAACACTGCCTTGTTCAGCTGCAGCTCTGGCTTGTCCCTGAGTGGGATCCCAAAATCTGCAAGTGGATACATGTTCACTGCTCAAGAGCAGTAAGAGAACTGGAACACGGTCATTTTCAGCTGCAAACTGCTTCTTTAAGTGTCTGAAGAGATCATGGCTTGATGGTCATAATCTTGTGTATGAAAGGACATTTGTGGTGCTCTTTTTTTTATTAAATAATAAAAGAAAAAAATGATACCAAGTGTTAATTTTATCAAGTGGTGGAGTAGCCAGGTTGAAGAAGGGGAGAAGAAGAAAGAAGTGGATGAGTCTTTCTATAGCAACTGTTTAGCGTCTGGTACTAATTCATCCACTGTTAATTTTGTTAGTGTTGCAGCTGTCAGATGTTTTGCAAGGACAGATTGTGAGCATAGCTACAGGGCCCTTCTGTTGGTTTTCCACTGTGCTGAATATCAGGGCTGCAGACTTCTGACTTATCTGGAGACTTAGTGACTAACACAACACTGATGTATTAAGAGGACATAAATTTTATTTACCTTAATTTTTTATGATTGAGTAATTTTATTGGTGGAAGAACTCTTAGATTTGTGTAGCAAGTAAATGCTGAAGCATGTAAGTGATAGGTCCAGAAAGGAGTTCAAGAATTTAGGTGCTTCAAACCTCCATTAAATAATTATTAATAGTAGTATTTTATTGCTACATTACCATGCAAGAAAAAATACTTCCCTAACAAAGATTTTATTGGTGTTCACAAAATCTACATAGTCTTCATTCTCCAAAGACCGTTATTCATCCTTCCTTCTCATCTGCAGAAAGTAGAACTGAAGGCAGAGGTGGGACTGGCAGAATGAAGGTCATGTGTGGTTAGGACTGTTGATATTAACAGAATGATAATTTCAGAGGAAAAACCTAAACAATTCCACCTTTATCACTTCTGTGAGGAAATGCTAAGGAAAATTAAGGTAATGTTATACAAGAGATAAGAGATAAAGGAAAGAGGATTTTTCTCATTAAGGAGTCTTTTTGAGCCTTTTCTTTTTAAATAAAACTGTATAAGAAGATACCAAAAAATAATTTTCATAGAAAAGATTTTTTTTTCTTGTTTATTTTTCCCATTTGACTTTTACTATGTAAGTATAATAGCAGCAGAACACACATTTTTGTTTCCTTTACCAGTAGTTGTGGATTATTTTGTGTCCTTGTCATGCCTCCATGTGCCTTGCTGGTGGTGCTGTGTCATGTTGAGGAGCTCTGACAGAGGAGATTACAGCTTCTCTGGGCAGCAGCAGTTGAGAGATTGTATGTCTTTTTTTTTTTTTCAGTAAACTTTGTCAGAGTTTTCTTAATTTAGGAACAAGTTTATGAGTGCAAAATAGACAAATTGCATGTAAAGGTGTGTGTTGGCAGCAATCATCTGTACATGTTCCTGAGCTTTATGTTCACTTCCTCTCAGAAGGAAGACCTGTGCAGCATTTTGGAGAACACAAGTATTTTCAGTGTGTGGTATTGGTGAGCTGTGTAAACAGAGTTTATGGACAAAATGAAGAAGAAAACCAGTAATTTTATTAGGTACATTGGCAGTGTATTCTCCATTTGGGTTAACCAGAATTTAGGGAGGGGTAACAAAAATAGGAAACATTCATGCCAACAGGGACATTGGGAACATTGGGAGTTCAGGCAGGAGAGAACATGAAAAGAAGACATGACAGCAAGAGAAGACTATGAATGATAAATTAGCTGTGCTTCTTTAATTGCCCTCAGAAGAGTTCAGGGGGCTGTCTGTGAAACTGAAAGGCAACAGATTTAGAGCCAGGGGAAAAAAGAGTTTTTTAGTATTTTATGGGGCTAACCTATGGAACTTGCTGTCAGACCAGAGTGCTGTTGGAAATCTTAGCTGGACTTAAAGGGAGAAAGAATAGATCTGGTGCAAGTAGATGTATCTTATTTTCCCTTTTGGGGGAAGGTGAGACAAAAAAGATGAAATGAATTGGCCAGTGCATCCATAGGAGAGCAAAGCGCTGTCTCTCCATGCCCTTGAGATAGCACAGTTGTGCCTGGTGTTATCTGTTTCTTACATGTGGAGGCAAGCCCTTGTTTGACTGGGCTCCTCCCAGGCACCTCCTACCCAGCAGAACTCTGTAGTGTGTGTACTGCATCACAGGATTCCTGTGCAGACAAAAATCAAATAGTATCTGCTGTTTTCTGCTTCCAAGTGCTTATTGTTGTTTCTAAATTTATCCAAGGTATTAGGCTATCTTCTGCACAAAGTAATTCTTGAAAGGATGAGTTTGGAGAAAATTTTTATTAAAAACAGTAAAAGAATGTCAGCTCTGTGCAGTATGATTGAATGACTTTAATTGTATCCCAGTTCTGCTTTTTAAGCATAGCTTATTTTCCCTCAAATGAATATAATATAGGAATCATAACTATTAGCTTTTTTCTTTAAAATACTATGTTACTATGTAGTTTTTGTTATTAGGGCATTCTAGGAAGTAGATCATCATGAAAAGCGTTTCTTTAACTGACAGTCAAGCAATTCTAACTGGTCTCCAGATGAGCAGCGAGAGGCTAGTGGATGAGATGTCACAGTTGTCCTTCACCACTTCTGGCCCTTAGCAGGAGTTCAACCTGTTCTGTCATTATCCTGCTGACACTGTACAACAGGTTGTACTGCATTGGCACTGGCTTCCATATGTCAGCACATCTGTGAGCGGTCAACTCAACCAACCATCTCCAAGTCCCCACTTTCGCCAAGGATATTGCTTGAAGCACATTTTCAAGGAGACGAGAGCACACATCTTTTAGTTGTCAGATTTCTATGTATCAGCATGGTTTAATTCCTTTTTCTTCTCTCATACTGGTTTATAAGTGTAGGGAGTTTTCAGTAAATGCATTGTGAAGTGTAAAATTCCTTCCTTTCTTTTTATTGTTATTTTTCGATTTCCTCTTGTGGTTCCCCCCCCCCCCAAACAAATGCACTAATTTCAAATATTTTTACCCAAAACATGAGATATTTAGAATTATATGCAACATTACATAGCATGCTTTGTACGTGAATGACAGATTAAATATATTTTAAGCAGTGTTAAAAGTGACATAATTTGTCAGTCCAAGTAAATGATTCAGCCTTACAGGGAATCTTTACAAGTCGCTTTCCCTGCCAATTCACCTTTAAAGAGGTAGCTGTTACATTCCCATCATCCATTCAAATCAGGCATGTAAATTTAGTGCAGGCCCTGAGAAGCCTAAATAATCTTGTACTTGTAAATGCACTGTGTTCTAATAAAATGAAAAAAAAAAAAAACCCAAACCAAACCAAAATTAAAAACTTCCATGGCTGAGTTAATTTCCTCCTCTCTAATTTAAGCTAATAAAACTGTGTGGAACATGCAGGCAAATTATTTTACTTTGAAATACAAATTAGTAAATTAATTTGCACCTGAAATGGTTTTTGTATACTCATCAGTGGGAGGTTACACTGCAGTAACAAGAAGTATGTGTGGGGCCTTATCCTGATTTGCATTGAAGATTTAGTTCTGTGAGGTGTCTCTGCAGTGGAAAAATACCCTTCTTGTAACAGTGATGGAATTTTTGTTTGCTCCTTTGTCAAGTAATAATTAATTTTTCTTCCATTTTATTATAGTATCTCTTGAAAGAGGTCCTGCTTTTGTTGCCAAAAAAAAAAAAAAAATCCCTATTAGTACCAGGATCCAGAAAATGTATATGTGGAAGGTTTTCTTGCTATAGTGGAGCTATTAATGTGCCTGTCCTGGAGGAGATGGGCTGAATATACTCATTGGTTCTCACTGCCTCAGGAAAACATGAAATTTCTCATAAATTCATAATAATACTGTGGCTAACTAACGAGATTTCTCAGAATTGAACTGATTTTGGCATCTGGGTTTTTTTAGATTCCTGGACATTCAATGAGAGAAAACTGTTTTGGCAAATTGAAAAGTGAAACTGTGCATGCATGCAAATGTGCACACAGCTACATATGTTATTTATTTTTTTAATGTATATTGAGTGTTTTATTGGAACCAAAATAAAGTTTCAGTGTTTTCAGAATGTATTTGCAATTTATAATCAAATTTATTAGAAATCAAACATGTGATTTTAATAGAAGAAAAGATGCTATTTTAGGGATATTAAGCAAAATATTTAATTTTAAAGATTATTTCAATTTTTAAAATTTGAAATTAATTTTTGATGTTGACTTGCTCATGAAAAAAAATTCAATTTCAAAAGAACGCTTAAAAAGTCACCCACTCTACTGAATCCAGATTTTATAGTGAGCCTCACAGTACAGTAGCATCATGAAATCATTTTTAACTAGGAATATTGTCAACTTTGTATCAAAAACTAGATATAAAGTGCAAATGTAAAAGTATCTTATTTGTAAATGTGAACATGTTGTTTTGCATATGCAGCTCCAGATTTGTTCCACTTAATTTTAGGCATTGACCTTAGCTCTCTGAGTTGTCACCTTCAGTCCTTCTCCAGTTACACGCCACAGTGCCTGCAGGGAGCAGTTCAGAGCTGAGACCCTGCATCACCTCCTGCCTGTGCCCAACAAGGTGTGCCCCAACACCTTGCCCAGCTTTACATTTTACTGTTGTGGGCACATTGCACATCTGGGGTGTTTTCTGTAATTTCTCCTGTCCACGCGCACAAACTTCTAAGGCAGATCTGAGCAGCTTTAGTGTATGAGTGGGATGGAAGCCTCTCTAACCAACCCTCAAAACCCTGAGCAGCTGAAGAGCTCTGCTGGGCAAGGGAGATCATTGTGCCAGGGGAAATAGCAATAGGTATTTGCAGCTCTGTGTACTGGCTGGCCACAGCATGCAGTCCCCAGCTCAGAGTGAAAACTGGCTCAGTGTGTGTTTAATGAAGTTGAGGAGCTGAGTGAGTGGTTGGTTTTTGTGCCTGCTCTGCCAGTTTGATAAAATTTCTGTTTGAGCTGTGCTAATCCCCTTGTTCCCTGTGCTAGGTTTGGGAAGGGGTGCACAAGGTTACACCTGTGTGTGCTCACCTCAGACTGCAGCAAGAGTCACAGCTGCCTTTTGGTGGCATTACTGGAAATTCAGGAACCTACCCATTGCAATCCTAAGTAACTTGTTCTAGAGGACCCTGCTTGGGCAGGGAGGTTGGGTTAGGTGACCTCCAATGGTCTCTTCCAACCCATTGTGGTTCTGTGGAATCTCATTTTAGATTAAGTAGTTCAAGACTGTAATTAAAGATCTAAAGGGTAACCTGCCTGGAAGGCCAGGTGTAGTTTGGCCAGTCAGCTACACAGTGTGAACAGAGATGTGTTAATAGTGAACACTGTTCATTCATGTGGAGTTGCAAACTCCTGAAGATTCAAACTGTTAATTAGGAGCCTTCTGGCTGTAGTAAGAAGAATCTGTCTTTAAGGATCACCTGAAGGATCTGTCCATGTACTCATAAGTTTATTTTTTCTTATTTCTATGTAATCTACACCTAAAAAATGTGATATTTAGAGTACATTTAGCTGCTGTGAATAGTAAAAAAGAATTCAACAGTGCTTGAATAGTAGTGATTGATATTACTGAGTGGCTGTCTCAGAACTGATGCAATATCACTCCTGTGCAGTAGCCAAGAAGATCACCAGTGTAAATGGGAGTGTAGTCAGAAACTGATGTTTTTCCTCTTCTGGCTTCTGGGGGTGATGTGGATGCTGCTGGTGGTCTAAAAGGACTGTTCATGCACATTTGAGATTTCTCCTTGATTGAGAAAAGGGTGGGATAACAAAGGAGGTTAAGTACTTGGAAAATCTTTTTTCTCTCTCTTCCATGTCATTGGGAATGTCATGAATGAGTAGTGGTACAGAAGTACTGGTGTAGTCTGTCAGGAAAGGGCTACTAGCATGGATGAGACTACTGGCAAATCTGTATTTTAGTCAAGCTTTACTCCATAGAATCAAACTGCAACCCAGGTCAAAGTGCAGCCTTGCTGAGAAATTGCCTACTGCACCAGGAGCTTCCTAAAGCCCCATGAGATTCTGCAGGGGTTGTATCTATTTGTATCCCAGCAAAGTGTCTGATGTTGACATTGTCTTGTTAAGAATCTCCCAAGATAATTTAAAATTCTTCACTGTTTCTTTCACAGGGCTCCTCGATTCAAGGGGTTCCAGCAGCAGGACAGTCAGGAGCTTCTGCACTATCTGTTGGATGCAATCAGGATCGAGGAGACAAAAGTAATGCCTTTGTGTGCCTTTTAAAAGTGAACTGCTAGTCATTGCTTCAATGTTCTTCATGTTCCCAATGTTTTAAAGATGTACTTCCTGAAGCAGGAGTGTCTATTTTCATTATCTTGAGAAAATATTTTTTTAAAAGATATTTAATTATGTTCATGTTGATTTGTTAAAATAGTTGATTGGAATCAAAGTTTCAGTTAGTAGGAGGAACATGGTAAGTAGAACATGATAACTTTAGAAATCCAAGTTGTTTGCCTTTTAAAAAATGAAAAAAAGGATGTCTGAGACATGAAGAAAGTAAAGGTAGGACCTCTGCATTAGCTGACAAAGTGAATTTTTAAAGCTTTGGATCAAAAATTAGCAGTTCTTAGCTAAGGGCCTGCCCATAATTTTAACCAAAAATTTTCACTGAAAACTGTGGGGAGAGAGGGGAAAATCTTGCAAAGTTTCTTTTATCTTTTGAAAGTGTGAAGAACTCCTTGCTTTATCAATAAGGTGCTGCTTTTCATTGCTTAAAATCTACATCCAAGTATGTGAAGTATAGAAGCAGTTTGTTATGTTGAAAATGTCCCTGTGTAGTTTTTTTGTTTGTTTATTTATTTTCCTTAATTATTTGTGCTTCCTGCATTGTTCATGCAAGAAAGGGAGTGTTTGGTTGCTATTTTGACCAGATCAGATGTAATCTGTCTGACTTAGTCTTCTTTTCAGATGATGCTTTGTGGTAAATAGCCTTTTCTAGGTCTCCCCTAAAGGAAGGCCTTAAATCTTGTACTGGCCAGAGTACTTCGTCTTCCCTTTCATTTAGTAACCCAATGAATGTTGTGATCCTGAGCTGAATTATCTCACAGATAAGATGTAAAGCTGTGTCTGAGCCTGGTTCCTGACACTACAGTAGAGCTGAACAAATCCCCATCCTGCCAGAATATGAATATTTACTGGTCTTGTCAGCATTCTTGACTATAAACAGAACTGAAGTGCAAGAAGAAACAGTCAAACCTTGACTCTCATGCTTAGAAAATCATGTCTTGAACACAGCACACAGCAGAAGCAGCTGACTTCAATTGGAAAACAGTTGTTACATTTTTTCAGCAGAGAGAAACTTTATTATTTTATTTTTTATTTCATGTAATAAAAGGTGAAAACTATGTTTTCTTGACAAAGGAGGAATCACAGAAAGCAGGATTATTGCAACAACTAAGCTGCTTCTCCAGGAAGTGCTTGTGCTTTCCCCTCAAGTCAGTCTCCTGTCAGCTTCACCAGTGGATGTGCCATCATTGCAATAACCTGCATTAGCATTTGCCTTTTAAATCATTTATTATTGGAGAGCAGTGACAGCTACACTACCTAACTCAAAAGAGTGATGGAAGATGGTAAGAGTTTACAGTGGTTTTTGGGTAGTATTTCTGCCACTCCATCAACAGGCAGAGAGCTGTGGGTGCCACCCTGCCCTGCAATTACATCCCACTGCTGCCCTAATGGTGCATGACTGCAAACACATCTTTATCACCTCAGGGTGCTCTGCCACCGACAGTACTGGTAAAAGCTCTCTCCCTCTCCCTCTCTCTGTTGTTTTTTAATTATCCCATGTTTCAGGTCTGTAGATGGCAGACAACCAGCTGGGCACAGGCAGCAGCCCGGCCATCCCTGCTCCCCTATCCCTGCCAGGATTAGTTGTTTTTAAACTTTTAGCTTTGATGAGAAATACATACAATACATAACATAACACTAGTTATAGGAGCTAACCAAAATCCTGTTATACTTTTGCCTCTTCTGTGTGGTTTTGTGTTTGTGTCCGACACCAGTGCTGAACTTTTTCGTATTCCTGAGGGAAAAAGTTAGGAAGTGTACACAAGTGGATTTTCAGCTAAAAGCTTGGCCATATAACAATAAAGATGACATAGTGTCTGTGTCCCCAGCAATGTGGGCTGGAGATGGTTTCACACCGGGGCCTGAAGTGGCTGAACCCTGCTGCTAATTGATTAATGTCTGCTGCCATTGTCCGCAGCACCCTGCCCATTCAAAGACTATGTCTTTCTTTGACCTAAATAAATGGTTCAACGCGCTAATCCCAACAAAAGGGTTGCTTATGGCCCTAAACCCATTTATGGTGCTCAACTTCATGAATTACCTATTGATTAATCCTTTTAGTATATTGTTGGCTTTAAGATGAACAAAGCTGAGCTCGGGGCAGCGGGAGTTAATTCACAAGCCAGGTCACATACTCATAAGGTCGGAGTATGACTTGGTCTGATGGGAGCCTGAACTGGAAACCAAACCTCTGACACTGTCTGTCATCCTCACACTACAGTGATATGTTGCTTGGAAGTGTGCTTTGCTGCCTGGAAACTAGAGCCATCTATTAATCTTTTCCTGTTAGGACAGAGGGTTTGAGTTGCTTGCAGAAGGTTTGGTGTTTGTCTCTTAGAATGGTACTTTACCCTAAGTGTCACTTCAGTATTTAATTATAAATGTCATTTGCACACCAACAAGGGAGACTCATACATGTTGCTAGAGTCTGTGGATCAGAGAGACAGGACATGTGCCAGGAAAAGGGAAAGCATAGTAGCTGGAGTCAGGGGACCTGATTCATCCTCCTGCTTCCCTCTCTGCAGCATGTCAGAGGTTGGGCTTTTCTACCCGCCCATGCAGTTCTGCTGCCAGGAATACAATGCCTCTTCACTTCCAGGCAGTTGAGAAATAACAGGGAGAAGCACCCCCTGTCTGGAGGGGCAGCTACAACTCATTAATGAATTTGCTTCTTTCTCATCCTTCTTTCAAAACTGTAGTTTTTAGGAGGTTTTTTTTAAACAAAAGTTAGTAACATTTACATGAATTCATAAGAAGTTTTCTTTCTCTTCTAAGGATTTCTTACATACCTCTAGAATTGGCAGTGTTAGAAAATAAACAGAAGTGATAAAAATACTGCCCAAACACAGTCACTGAAGTTTGGCTAATGAAAGGCTCTTAACTGCCTTCCAAGTATTTTGTGTCCTTGTCAATCAATGTAAGTCCATCTGCAGTGGGAGAGATTGATAGCATTAGTTCACTGAAAATCTCATCGTTTCTTGGTAACCTGTGAGGTGCCCTATGATGGTTCCCTTTTAAGGGAAGGAAATTTTTGGGTGATTATCTACAGAAGTTAAGCTCATCGAGTTTTGACATTGTTGGTGAATAACAACAATAGTTTTACAATATTAAATTACATTTATTTTATGGAAATAAGACAAGATATAGTCTAATCAAATATGACTAGTTTTTAGAATGTTTACACTTAAAATACCTTGTTTTATTTTTACTTCTAGCGTATACAAACTGGTATCTTAAAGGCATTCAATAACCCAACTACTAAGACAGCAGATGAAGAAACTAGAAGAAAAGTCAAAGGTATGCAACGCTTTATTGAAAACTTCTGAAACTGCACTAGTCTTTAAATACCATTTTTTTCTGAACTGCCTGTTGGGAGCAGGAGATCTGAAGTGCTGTGATGGCCAGGCTTTATTTGTTCTGTGTTACTCTAGTGCCGCCTAGTGCGTACCTAAAGTGCAGAGAGCTTAGTGCGTGCTGGCTTGCATCTGTGTATCCAGGAGAAAGGCTCCCCAGTGTTAAGCCAACTCTTAATAATAAGTAGTATTTAATTTTGTTTTCTAAAATAGCCTGCTCTATATTTGTTACATAGTCATAATTATGTTATACTCAGAGAGGCCACTTTCCATAAATTAAACTGATTCCTCTCAGTTGACTGGTACTGTGAGCACTCTAAATACAATTACAAAGTCAAGATAGGCAGCTGTTTCTAAAGAAGGGGGTTTTTTTTCAAAAGAAGAGGTTTTTGTGGTTTTTTTCATGTTTGTTTATTCAGTAGTTCTAATTTGGGGGATTTTATTTTAATTAAAGTCCTAATGATTAAGATCTTTTGTAAGTTATCCTTCCCAAATCTGCAAAAGTTAAGGCATAAAGATGTATTAGAAAAGGATTTTGTTATGTTTTAGAGCTTTATGGTTGCAAAAACCATTTTGAAAGGGTGAGAATCTCTCTGCTTACCCCAGTGTCTATATCAAAGCAATGCAATGTTATTTACTCAAAAGAAAACTGAGATATAAAAAGCTTTTTCTTAAGAGACGCAATATTATTACTCTGTTACAGAAGGTGGGGAAGGGAAGGATTAAAGGGAACCTTCTCACTAAAATATTTTTAAATGTTGAGATAACACAGTATATGATGTATTGGTTACTGTATTGTGTTCAAAACATTTTGAATATGTTTAAAATTGTGCTTTCATAATATATCTTGGGAAGAATTTTGTTGTACTTATAGTGTGGCATTGGATGTGTTATTTTTCACATTTAAAAAAAGCAATGTTTTTTCAGCATATGGAAGAGAGGGTGTGAAGATGAACTTCATAGATAGGATCTTTGTTGGTGAATTGACTAGCACTGTCATGTGTGAGGAATGTGAAAATGTAGGTATTCTGGAATTTGGTTTGATGTGGAATAGATCACATACTGGTTTGATTACATTGTCTTGAAAGTATAAAATTGTGCTGCCAATTTTATACTTGTTTGTTTGTTTGTAAAAACAAGACTTTATTGAAAGTTTCTCATTTGAAATTATTTATTCCTTCTTTAAAGCATTATCCTCCCTGACGTAAGAAGAGGGATCCTTTGAATTCAAAAAGGATTCAAGTACTGGGCTTGATTTTACATCTGACTTAAGGCTGGAGGTTCCAAATTCTATAATCATGTGTGTTACACACCAGTATTATTTGATATTTTTGAAACACCTATTTTAAAACATAAATCCTCCTACCTGCTCTTCTGGGATACACCTGATAATTGGAAATTACTTACATTGAATTAGAATGAGTGGGAAAATGCTAAAATTACTTCTTTTTCTTTGAAGTATTTTTTATAATTAACATAATAACCCTAATGAACAGTATATTCCTTTCATAATTAATATTACTGACATTCCATCATAAATGCTTTCCATGATCCTTATAATTTTCTTTTAAGTTTGACAGAGAAAAATCTTAATTGCATGACTTTTTAAATTGAATGTTATATTTGTGTTTGGTTTAAAACATTCTATTTCATATTATAGAGATTAAATAAATTAATGAATCTGAAAAATTAAGCACAGTCCTGCAGTGCCAGGTAAACTTCCCTGTGTGTGATGTGCAGATTACTCTTCAATGTGCTACTAGTACCAATGAAGAACTTTGACCATATAAAAAATAGAGGTTGTATGTATATTGCATGTCTCATCTATTTTTGCTGGCTTCTTATATTCTGCCTGCACAGGACTTGAGAATATGCTAGCTGTAGCCCTTTGAGGAAGAGTTTAGCATTCATTTTCCTTTGCCTGCACTGGCAAGATATTTTTGATATGTGTTTGTTCATGCAAAGCGACACTTTAGAGGAGCCCCTGTTTGAACATCGCTCACCAGGCAGGCAGGCAGGCAGGCAGTCACCAGAGCTGCCTGCTTTTGATCCCATTTATTGCTTTACTGGAACCTAAACATTCCTCAGTCCCTGGCACAACAGGTAAATTAAGCTTGCAGTCCATACCAAGTGTCACAGGTGGAAGATGGGGTCACAAATACAAGAGAAGGGACATGGTGACAGTAATTGATGGCATGGCTGTGACTTAAATGTACAACATGATTTTTACTTCCTTTTTTAAGGTTTTGTTTTTCACAGTCTTTTCAGAGGTAAGATAAGTCAGTTTTGGAAGGAATTCGAGAACAGCAAGGGAGAGAGCCTGAGGAACTTAGTGATAAAGGCAGATGGAAAGTGCTGGAAGAGATTGTCTTTTGGTATGCTTTGTAAGATGTTTCCAGCTCATATATGGCAAAATGAAACCTCAGTACAAAAAAAGAGGTTGGTTTTTTTTCAAGTCCCTTTTCCTCTGTAATTGGATTTATTTTACCAATTAGTACATGGTGTCAAAAAATTTAACAAAGCTTTTGACTGTAACCAATAAGGCTGACTTAATCTTGACTGAGAGCATGAGGTTAGAACCTGTCACTTAGCTGTCATTAACCAGTCCTTGCTGCATAACAGCTCGAACACCTGTGCAGAAGTGTCCAGAATCAGGAGACACTAGAAGGTAGCTTTCTGCAAAAGGGTACCACAGGGGCCCACTTGAAACTCCATCTGGAGCTCAGAGAAAGTGAGCACCACACTGCTTCAAGTCAGTTCATGCCCAGACTGATGGCCTTGCCCTTTACCTTACATGCTGAAGTTTTGTGTGGTGTTAGAAAGAAATTTAGACTTAACTTAATAATTTTCTTTTAAGTTAATGGGAAGTTCTTCATTGTAGTTTCATACATCTTGTAAGTAATTAGCTTGTTGTATAGTTTTTGATAACAAATTGATTAAATAAAGGGAGCTATGTACTAAACCCATATAGTCTTCTTTGTGTTTAAGTGCATTTTCTCTTTTTCTTCAAGATTTCAACAGTAAAAGAACCTTTCATTGATCTTTCACTTCCTATAATAGAGGAGAGGGTAAGAAACAGAATATGTATTAAAGTACCTGTTGCTTCCAGTGGATTGTTTTTAATAGCCTTATGAAGATACTTATCTGTATACACATAGTTTTGATTTAAGCCTAAAAATGTAACCTTGTCCATAAAGACATGTACTATTATCCATCTATTCATTATATGATTTTCTTTTTATATATATATGCATACAATGTCATAAGTTCATATATCTTTAAATTAGTCCAAACTTGCATCAAATGCCTATAGTAACCCACAGAATATATAGATCTAAGATTAGCTTAATTTAATAGTATGTACTTATATAAATAGAATGATTATAAGCCTTTTTTTCTTTTTGGAGGTCCAGAGAGTCAGATTCTAACCTATTGGTTTGTATCTAGAGAACCTGAGTCCCTTGGGCTGATGTTTACCTACAGAATGAGACACTTTAAAAATGGATATTTTAATTTATTTATTCTGGAGTTCTCAGCATTTTATGGATCACCTCCATTAGCTGCAGAGGAACTGTGTTCCTTTGAAGGCATAAGCTATGTTTTCAGGATTTGTGCTTTTCATTTGAGAGTAGTGGGTGTGGGTTGAGAGTGGTTCTTCCTCCATCCTGTGTATATTCATCTACATTTAAGGGAGAGTAATTAATGTAACATTTATTTCTGTACAAAATGTATTTTTCTCCAGACACCAGTTTCTTTCATAACCAATTCTTCATCACATCCTGTACAGCTATGGATGTGCTTACACAATAGTAGAATAGATTATTTTGTGTTATATTACATACAGAAATTCTGTATCATTCCTATTTCTTGTAGCTTTCAGTTGAACCTTCAGAGACACTGACAGTGAGTTCATGATTAAAAAAAATTAGAAAGTAGCCCTATATCACAATTCAGGGGGCCATTTAATTGGTTTTATGTAGGTCACTCTTGGAAAAAATCCATGTGCATTCATCTTTTCTGTAGGTTGCAAAGGAATACAAAATGAACGTGTTGCCTTTCCTAATTTCCTGTCTAATTTCTTAGGTTGCAAAACCTGTGCCCTTGGGAAGAACAGGTAAAAGTAAAAGTGTGCAGGAGGCAGATCTTGGTCAGTATAATTGTTCTTCTATCAGTACTCTGAATAATCAACCCAAAATTGTCAAGAAACACACTTTAACAAAAGATAAGGTAAGAACTTAACTACTCACACTTACCAGTCATCCTGAGTTAACTCAGGTTTCTAGGGTGACTGGGAACTTCTAAGGAATTTTCATACATGTCAGTGGGATTTTCTAGTATGCATATAGCTGACATGGACTTGTTTTAAAATATTTAGGTCATCATTAGAAGCATGAAAAATGACAGTCATTGGTAACCATTTAGCTTTCAGTTACAGGGTTTTGTTTATAAGGAAAAAGAATCTGCAGGCTAGTTTCAGTTCATGTTGCTTTTGGGACTGTTGCAAGGTCTGTGCTCTGTTGAGTACCATAAAAACCCTCCTGCATCAAGTCCTAACACATTAAACACATGTGAAGAAAAAATACAGTGTATAAAATACAACATATAAAACACAAAATGTAAAAGAATGATAGGAGAAGAGAATGAGAGAGAAGTAGAAAAAGGACATGAGGTAGAAACAAAGGGCAGGATGGAAAGAAGTAGTGCAGAAACTGATTGTTATAGAAGAAAAGGCCTAAAACTCAAACCATTGAGATTAATGGAAGGATTCCCATTGGTACCACTGGAATTTTGATCCAATTCAAATAAAGGGAAAAAAAAGGGGAAGGAAAGTTGTTAGTTTCCTTTGGGAAGTAGCCAAACAAAAGAAGGCAAGAAAAGAGTCATGAACATGTGCAAATCACCTAAAATTATAGCAGCTTTGTGGGTTTGGTTTTCTAAATCTATAGGAGTAGTTTTCTGTGGAAGCAATCTTTTACTTCTTTTTGCAATCTTGATTGAAAAAAAAGTCAACTTCAGATGATATTGAAATCAGCAAACATCCTCCTAGGGATGCCTTAGTTAATTCTATGACAAATGCCCATAAGGCAAGTTGAATTTTTTCTGGAGCTGCTCGTCAACTAAGGCCTCTCATGGGAGGTCAGGGGAGTAACTTAAACTTGAGGACCTTTTAGAAGCTTAAATTGGATTAAGTGAATACCACTTCAGATGTGCTATCTGCAGCTGTCACAAAGTGAAATGAATTCGTTGTGAGAAGTATTGATCTCACAGTAAGTATAAGCTGACTTAGCTGACTGGGATGTAGGTTCCTAATCCTAAGTTAGTGTAAAAGCTTCTTAAGGAAATCAGCTATCTTAGGCATGAGAGATGGAGAATATAGAACAATATAAACCCCCAATAATTTGCTTTGCATTTGTCATGTTGTGAAAGATTGGTTTGCTTACAATTCTGCTTCCTGTTTCTCCCCTCTATTACTGAAATAATAATGCCATCATTTACAGAACCAATTGAACCATGAGAGACGGCTTGCCAGAAAAGCTTCCTCAAAGGAAGAAGAAAGAAGTCCTGTTATCATGCAGGAAAAAGCCAAAAAGCTGGAGCTGGAGGGTGGCTCTGGTGTGCTGTTCTCCAAGGAGCCCTGTGCAGAGGCGGCTGTCAATGGGAGCCAGACGGAGGGCAGTGAGAAGGAAGCCAGCCGCTCCGAGAGCAGCTTTGATGCCGACAGTGAGGCCTCAGAAAGCGAAAGTGCTTCCAAGCAAGCAGCTCTGAGCCCCCCCAGCAGCGTGTCTGGTGGGCATGGGAACCCCTTAAACCCTAAAACGCCGCACAGGCCGAGCGACAGCCCCGAAGAGATGATCTCCAGTTCCATATCCAAGCTTAGCTTCTGCGATCCTGTCAATGAAGATAAAAAATCAAGTTGTGGAGATCCAGCATTGGGTTTATCAAATAATTCCATGTTCTCAGTAGGCAAATCCTCTCTTTCCCAAAACCCTCAAAATGCTTTCCAGACACTTTCCCAAAGCTACATAACTAGCTCAAAGGAATGTTCTGTTCAGTCCTGCCTTTACCAGTTCACCTCTGTAGAGCTCTTGATGGGGAACAACAAGCTTTTATGTGAGAGCTGCACAGAAAGGAAACAGAAGTATCAGAAGAAAACCAACTCCACAGGTAAAGTGCTTGTACCTCTGGATGATTTCCAGCGTTGCCTCCCAAAGCCTGTGTGCTGGCTGCTCTTCCATTGCTCCAGCATGGGCCTCCCCGCTGTTAAATAGAAAATAGAAAATGTCTCTCCAAACAAAAATTGTAACAACTTAAAACTTCACCAGGCAATGGCAACAGGACTAATTTTTATGTTAGAACATAATGGTAGATGTAACATAGAATTAATTTTTCAGCTTTATTCTATCCAAGATAAAGAATTTATAGATTACTGTAAACCAAGTATATGCATTGCTCAATGCTAATCTTTGCTGCTGTTTCTGTTCCTTACAATCCTCAAAGCTTTGAAATACATGCTGTAAGATTCAGCTCCTGTAGCTTACATACTCAGGAAAGTAATGCAATTATGTATGAAAAAGAGGCAAAAAAAGAGAATTGCAATGAAGAGAGAAATAAAATTCCAAAAATTTGTAAGAATGGAGATGAGAGAGAAGCACCTTCTTATGACAATGTTTTCCTCGATGCTTGTATAGCCCAAGCAGACCATTAGAGTTCACTGAATAAGAAAAACAACTTAAATTTAATGAAAACTTAACACTTTAGAAGGACTGGAGGATTGGGGCTTTATATATAGAATTTCAGAAGAATAAAAAAATTAAGCTCTTCTGATAATTTGTCAATACAATAAAGAGAGTTCATATAATAACAAAAAATTGCCTGTTTGCTGTGCATTTATAGATACCTGGAGAGATAAAATTTAAGCATGAGTAAATTCAGAAAAATTATTTGTATCTTATAGTCATACCTTTAATCATCATTGGACTATAAGTGCCATATAAATAACACTTTGGTTCCATGGGCACCATGGAAAAGCAAAATCAATTCACAACTACTCATTATTTATTTTTTCCTTCTAAAACAAAAGACATAAGAGGTCACCCAATCAACCATTAAGTGCTCCATTATACCTCATATGAACTATTTCCTTTTGAACATATGTAAAAGCAGTATATTAATTTTTTCAGCAAAACCAAATTCTAGTGGTATGTTCTCTTTTACTGTGGAGCTTTTCTGTGGAGTTTTCACTGTGCTAGTTTTGGTAAGCACCCTGTGTTCTGTGCCTTCTGCACCATTGGGGGTTTGGAGGCCACATATCCCAGTCCTGAGTGCTGAATCCAGCAGGTTCTGAAGCTTCCTGAAGCAGACAGCCCTCCTCAGACCTTTCTCTTAAAAAGTGTAAAGTATGTAGTCATGCAGAAAGAGCTGAAGAATGGAAAACTCAGCTCTTAGTGATTAGGGCATTAAAACAGATAAAGAGACTTGTGCCTTCCAGTTTTTATGCAGGGATCATCCATTTATTTTAGGTTTTAACAGGAAAGTTGGCTGCTATAGTAACAGAAGATGTAGTTATCTCATCTTCTTCAGTGTGCAAGCTGACCTAGATAGTGGACAGGCTTCCAGCTTCTGATCTGATTTGCACAAGAATGACTAAAATAATGCTCAGATTTCACAGATTATGTTTATTAATAACTAGAAAAATGAGAAAATATTTTTGTTACTCCACAAAATTTTCCTTGTGTTTTATTTAACAAGTACAAAACCATCACAGCATAGGTCTGTTCTGTCAGATGTTTAGAAAGTACTTTAAAAATTCCGTATGACTGCCTTCACTTTACATATTATTTTGATATTCATAAATACAGAAAAGAAGGTGGAAGGTGTCTACACAAATGCTCGGAAACAGCTGCTGATTTCTTCAGTTCCTGCTATTCTTATTCTCCACCTGAAAAGATTCCACCAGGTAAGGGGCCAGACCCCTCTTGTATATTCCTCTGCCCCACTGGTGGATAACTGGTGGTTCTTCAAGTGTCATTGTGGATCCCAATACTGCCTTTTTAGATGGAGACCTGGTAGAAGCACTGTTTGAAACATGCTATGTTTGTTGTGATTATTCTAACACCTTCAGACTACATTTAGCCATCTGGATGTATCCAGGGAAACCCCTTGTGTGTCCATCATGTTACATGTAGCACTGTATTGGAAACATAACAAAGAAGGTTTAAATCAGTTAAAATCTTACTCTTGTATTTGGTTAATTTGAACAGTATAATGATACACCTTAACTTAAAAAAGCTACCTTGTAAAATATTCATTTTACAGTTTTTCTTGCCTTTTTTTTTTTTCTTTTGAAGGCTGGTTTGAGTCTACGGAAAGTAAACAGGCACGTGGATTTCCCATTGATTTTAGACTTGGCACCATTCTGTGCTGCATCTTGCAAGGTACAATTTCAAGTCTTTATTTTTGTTGTACTTCAGCAGTTGGTGTCCTGACCAAAGTTAAATTGGATTGATGATGATTATGATAATGATGATTTTTAATTAAATTGTAGAGTGAATTTTTCAAATAGTGTCTTGATATCAGAACTGTAACTGTGTACAATCCCATTCATATCAAGAATATCATAGATGTTAGCTGATGTTAGTTAAGCTGTGGTGCCCTGGTGGTGTTGGTGTACATAACAGCATTAAGGACAAGTATTACCATCTCTATGGTAACTAAATTAGTAAGACTACTGAGTTGTAATAGAGGTATTTTGCTTTTGGAAATGCTGTGGCTGGCTGTTTGCCTCTTTTGGAATCATACTGCTGCCAGCTACTTAACATGCCTGTAAAATTTACTGTGAAATAATTGACCTTTGTTTTGTGTTTCTGGGAATGCAGAACGTTATGGACGGTGCAAGAGTGCTGTACAGTCTGTATGGAATAGTGGAGCACAGTGGCTCAATGAGAGGGGGTCATTATGCAGCGTATGTGAAAGTCAGGACATCCTCCAAGAAACTGCTGGAGCACATTTCTGCCACTAAATCTGTTCTGGGTACGTACAAACAGAGCTTCCTTTCCTTTACTGTAAACCAAAAGTAACTGTCTACAGGGATTGATAGCAAATAGTTTTTTAGCTG